TACACACACACACAAACATACACACAGACAACCCCGTGACAATGTGCGTTTTGTACTGCTGTTACACAGTACAAAACGCACAAAAATTCGATATAGATAATATCTAAACGACAATAAGTAACGAAGAAATCTATATGTTAGTGAGCTAGCCTTCGGAGCGACTTAATACAGAATTAGCCACTGGTTCGGATTCTCATAAGCTTACCTAGGATCAGCGATGCTGAGATCCGGCCGAAAGCATCTGGTGCACCGATACTGGTCAGCTCCTAGAATTGGCAGGCCACGATTGACCAATTGCCCTCGTCCAGCTATTTCATCTTCAGCCAATTGCTCTTTGTCCTCCTGAAATGCGCATTTGCTTGCAAACGTTTGAATATTCATGAACCTGACTGCCAGCTGATTGCAAGTTGGTCAGTCTTCTAGATCTTCCCTTGCGCTCTATATTCTTCGCTTTCCGGTCCTGACTGCTTCCAAAAGCGCTTACCGGGCCGAATGAATCTTCTCATAACAGCACAGAAAATTCTGTGTACATATATTATCCGTCAAGTCAGCAAATACTATCCAAAGCCTGTATATGGTAACAATTTCTTCAAGTATTTTACAAAGTTCCAGAATTTTTAGAGTGTCTTGCTGGGCACAATAAAAAAGTTCTATATGTCCACCTTCTTCTTTGCAGCTTTCACCATCTGTGATAAAATGTTCTTGCGGCCTTCGAGTACTTTATTGTACAGCCACAGTGCGCGTGGCTTTGTCCGTTCCGGCCAATAGTGCTGTGCAATCATCCGCCGGTACCTGGTCGCATAAATCTGAAAGTGACAACGCGGACACAAAATCGGTCTGGAAGCTGTATATAATATGAGAATACGGAAAAGCTGGAAAACCCTTGTCCTCTCGCATCCCTTCGAGCAGCGAAATCTAAAATCTGGAGGATGTGGAATCGAAATCTGGAGGATGTGGAGATGCATACGGTCGATTTCAATCGTTTGAATGCTTCTCTTCATTTTCTAGTCGACTAGCCAAATAGGATCATGAAATTTTTCTTCTGCGCGAACCAAGATGCACTAGTGACCGTCGTGTTGATCAAAAAATACTGTTGCGCAGCATTTTGGAGGGGTACAGATGATCACTTCCACATTACATATAAGCTTTAGACAATATCTGCTGAGTTGGCGGATAATATATGTGTCGGAATTTTCTGCGACTCTTTTCGCAGTCTGCAGGAAGCAGCACAGCAAACCAGTGGGTTGCGGTACAAACACGCTTTCCTGCGTTGCTGCTGCGCTTTTGTTTGGTCGACAAATCTGCAAGTATGGTACCGGAAGAAGAGAAATGAGCGATGCGTCCAGCGAAAGTAGCTCAGCTGCGGTCGCAACAACAGTTGCTTTAGGGTTTAAACGCCCAGAACTTCTTTGGGCTATTTGCGGTGGCCTGGTAAATATCTTTTAAGGATAGATGTTGTGCTGTTGAGAACAAAAAAGGCTGGAACGCACCAGGCGAGCCGGTGCGATCATGCGTTTTTGCATCAAAACTAAAGTA